ATATATATATATATATATATATATATATATATATATATATATATATATATATATATATATATATATATATTACTTCTGATTATTTACTCTTGAAATACATATATAATGTTACAATAATAATAATATATGTTATTCTATGTTTCCTTTAAGTTTCTCCTCTGTTCTGAACAGGAATGATTAGCATGAGGGGAGCAGTGTCTGTGTGGCTGCTGGCGGTGGCTATCGGTACCATGGCAACCGGTGCGGAGCAGGACGAGCGTGACTCACGGATGAGCGCCATGGAGGAGAAACTAGACGCTATCTGGGAGAAGTTGGACGGAATGACGTCACCGCCGGCCTGCAGCTGCGACTGTTCGCAGCAGTCAGCTCAAACAGAACACCTAGCGGGAAAGGTAAGCGCTCTGCTTCCAAAAGCACGCTACTAACCTTACTACTAACCTTAACTAATAATAGTTAATTATAATTCTAATTATAATAATAAATAATAACAATAGTTAATAGTAGACGTAAGACTAAGGTTAGTAGTTGTATATCGTCCAGTTAGTATTAGCCACTCCAGCAGAGTCGCAGTTGTGAACCAAGTTGATTTACGTGCGCAACAGGACGTTCGTCGAAGTCTTAAAATAATCAAGCATTCGGCAAAGAGCAACTAGCAACAAAGAGAAAATTATGTAATGAATGAAATAAGTTCATTGGATTTCGTTGAAAACTACGAATTCATATTTAACATGGATTTAACACAAGATAAATATGAATTCATAATTATGTAATGGTTTCACGGCTGAGAAAACCATGATCTCAAAATAGGCAAGCGTATTTTTGCTGTAATCGACGGCACCTGGCATTAAATAATTGATGTATCGAGTGGCAACGTTAAGTTATTCATGATGACGTTTAATTTTTTTCACTTTCTGATGTCTTTGAGCGAGCCTAAGTAACTTAACTCACGCACAGTTCTTTTTCTAACTAATAATTCTAATTTATCTCTCACACGCTTAATTGCTTTAGCAAGTTCAATAATGTAATCATTCCGATATCTACTCATAGGTGGAGACACTCGTCGGGATGTTGAGTGACGTCAACGACACCCTGGCGGCGAGAATGAGCGCACTCGATCGGACGCTGGACAGTGGTCAGCAGACATTGCATGACGTCACCGCCGAGCTTGAGGCTTCCCTGTCCGAAATCAATGCGTCGACGGCGGCACTACTCTCGGCAGGTGGCGCTGCGAGCGGCGAGCAGACGAACGAGATGCGGAAGTTGCTCGCCGACTCGCAGTC